TTGTGGCCGGCACCACCACGCGCGATGTCGCTGCCCCACCACATGGCGGCACTGACCTGCGCCAGCAGAAGGCCTGCTTGAGGCGCGCTATCGGTAGCAGCAGCAAACTGCGGGCGGCGAAGCAAGGGGCCCCCGGGGTTCCACCGCCCTGGGCCCCGCGGGCCCACGGGAGCCAGCGCACGCACGTCTTCCTCCCCGGAGGCGGCGGTCATCCCGAGAGCGACTCCGCCCACTGCGGCCGCCACCCGCGGCGCCCCCCCCACCCACCCCCACCCCACCTCCACCCGCGCACGCGCGCGCTCACGCACACACACACACACACACACACACACAACACACACACACACACACACACACACACACACACGCACACTCACACGCACACGCACACACACGCACACGCACACACACACACACACACACACACACACACACACACACACACACACACACACACATACTGGTGCTGAGCGAAGTGGTCGCGAGCACCACGGGCGACGACCCCGACGCGGCGGGCGGCGCGCGAGTTCGGATCGCCGAAGGCATCGTGAATAGGTGCCAAGTCCATCCCCAGGCATATCGAGAGCACCTTGGGAAACTGGCGCGATGGCCGCGTCAGCCCTGCCATAATCCACAAGCCCCATCCACGACCCCCTCGAGACTGCGCGCTAACGCCCAGGGAAATCCCCAGCGCCCGCCGCGGAAGGCGGCGCGCCCGCACGAGGCGGCGCGGTCGCCATTCGGGCACAGCTGGAGCCCCGCCGCGCGAGAGCTGTTGCGCAGATAAGATTAGAGCAGAAAAAGCCGATGACCTGCGCGATGGAACATGCGACTGAAGGGCCGACCCCTTCCCAGGCATCCGTCGGCAATGACGGCAACAAGCGAAGGGCGATGATGATGGTTTTACCCTTCTCCACTGCCCGACAGTCAGCGCCCCATAGCCAGCGGGCAAGCTAACGCCCGCGAGCCGAAAGGGGCAGCGGGCACAGCCAAGGATAATTGAAGTCGGGGGTGCACTCGCAGCTCGAACGCCAGGGTGGCCTCTACCTCGCGAAACCCCCAGCCGCCGACGCGGCCCCGCTTGACTGCGCGGCGAGGCTTCTGGTCTGAAGGCACCTTGAAGTTGGCGGCCACGAAAGGCGACGCACCCCCCCGACCCCGGCCCCCGTTTTTCCGCGTTGACTCGCAGCCTCTTGCCACGATGCTCAACACTAAAATGTTCGAGCTGGCATCAGAGCGCCCAGCCGGCCCAAGGCCGGCGCGGCGCCGCGGCTCCGGGGGGCGGGCCGGAGGAGGAGGAAGAGCGAGGAAGAGGACCAAATCGGCGGACTGGGGCAGCAGCGCGGCCCCAGGGACTTCGTCGAAGGAATGGCCCGGCTCGAAGCCAGCACGACCGAAGACCTCACCAATGTCAGGGGGCCCAGCGAGAGCAGCTACCCCAGCCGCAATTCCGCCTCGTCGAGGTAGCTGTCACGCCCGCGTTCTCGACCGACTGCCGAAAAGATCATGCTGAACGTCAGCGGCTTCACAGTAGAATAAAGAACACTCCTGTCCGTCGGGAAGCTCAACTTCCACGCAGCTCAATCCCTCAGCCATCAAGAGGTCGCCGCGAGGCGGCGGCGAAAACCGCTGATTCGCCCGCCGGAGCGCGCCACTCTTCTTCCGCGCCAAAAACGGAAATTGTCCGCTCATGCGCCCATGCGCCGAGGACCAACATGTCCCTGGCCTCGAGGTCGCGCGCGGAGCGGGCTCAGACTCTCGGGTCGCCGGCGAGCTCGGGTCGATCTCGCGTCGCGCAGCCTTGTCGGTGACAGTATATCCTGCAGCGGAACCAAGCGCACGCTCTCCTGCACCCCCTGGGTGAGATCGGCCACGGCCCTTTACCAAGTGGAAAACGCTCGGCGCCGCGCCCTGCCTCTCAGGCGGAAAGCCCGGCCCACGCCTGCACGGCGGAGGCGCAGTCGAACAAGCGCCCGCCCTGTAGCCAGACAGACGCCTCACCACAGAGCAGATCCCAAGGGGCAGCTTCTGACGGCAAGTAAAGCTCACGAGCGCCGTCGCGAGCCCGCGGCCCCGCCACCTCCCCCACGCGCGACAGCGTCTTGTCAGCGCGGGCTGCCGCGCCGACATGGTCAGGCCCCCGACCCCACTGCGAAGAATCCCGAGGCCGCGCTCGGAGCTCAGGCAACAGATGGTCGCTGGTCTTAAATAGCCAATTCAACGCAATGGACGTTTATTCGACGAGCTGCCGCGCGCGACCGCGAGCACGGAATCCCTTCGATCGTCGACCTCCCGAACTCGGCGCAATCTCTCGCGCGGGCAGCGGGGATCGGGGACCAGTCGAGAAACCAGCGGCGGCCAGAGGCGCAAAAACCCTCCGCTCTCAGGGGGGCCGCGGAATGGAGAGCCCAATCGTGGCCCGCTGTCTGCTCAGTTGCCATCAGGGGCGGCGTGGTCTCCTCTGCCTCGGCCCACCCGCCCACCTGCCCAACGGCCACGGCCACTGTCGCCGGGACCTTGCGGGCCCGGAGCGTCGGCGCCAACCGTAGGCAACGGGTGGTGAGACCAGGCCTGCTCGACCTCACGTTGGCCCTTCCACTTCCTGAATCCCCACATCCGCACCACATGCCTGCTCGGAGCGCCTGAGCCCGAAAATATGCATCAACTATCACCTTGATCATGCGACGCATGATATTCTCAATGCCCGCCGACGCGCCGAAATTGATCTGGTCACAATCCCCGAATAGCTTGAAACTCTCCGCGGGGGTCGTCATATCATGATCGATCCTGCCCATCTTGACAATGTTGCATGACCTGGCGACATCCTGCGACAACCTGCAAAGGACGCCGCCGTGCCGCTCCATGCGGCGGCCAAAGTGACGCGCTCTTGGAGGCCCCTGATATTCAAAGGCGGTGATCGGCTCCTCGCGACTGTCGTGCGATGCAGTTTTGACAGGTTTGAATAGATTGCTGATCTCGTCATAGTCCACCCACAACGTCCCGACGTCGCCTCGGCGGGCTCACGAAGCGCATCATGTGACTCGAGCGCCACCACACCTGACGGCGCTCCCATCTTAGCGCACCTGGCCTTCGGTTTCTGCACGAAGGCGAGAACTCGCAGGAAAAGGCCCTTGCGGAACACCTGGCCATCGTGCGACGTGATCACGATGCCGCTTGCCTTCAACGTGACCTGCATCCCCAAGAGATCACTGTGCTCGAAGTTCCCGCACACCAGACCTTGCCGTCGGACGTCCGGGTTCGCGCCGCCAGCGCTGCCAGGTAGGGCGGAGCCGAGGCTGCCCCAACAGCCACCACACGAGCGGCCGCAGCAATTCCGTCGGCAGGAGCGCCAGCGGCCACGGCACCTCCTTGAGTGGCCACAGCGCCCCCAGCAGCGGGAGCACCAGCGACCACGGCACCTCCAGCGGCAGGCGGGCCGCCAAAGGCAGCCAGTGATGGCCGAGCTGCGCCGCTCGCAGGCAGCGCAGGCGAGACCCTGCGTCGAAGCCTTGGCCCAAAGCCAGTCACTGCAACCAACACACCAGTGTCGTCCACGTAGTGCGTCAAGCTCGGAGGGTTCCTGGCAGCCGCCTGAACCTTGGCCGCCTGCTCTCGCACCCAACTGCATATATCGTTGCTCATCGGATGCCTATAGCCTGAGAAGCGGTAGAAGCGGCATCTCAGCATCGGCGGACAAGTGCCACTGTCGGCGAGGACCACCAGAGCCTCGCCATCGTTGGCCTCATGGGCACATATTCCAGGTATCGATTACGGTCTGGAATGACCACCTCCCACTTGCACAGCCGGCCCTGGGCATCTCGGGGACCTGGTCCCAGAACGACACGCTCGTGAAACAAATATTGCCCTCGTGCTAGATGGCCACTATGCGGTCTGGGACCAGACTATAAAATCACGAAAAGCGCGGGCTTGTAGCCCCGAGTCGGGCAGCCTGAAGAGGAACGACCGCTGGGAGAACGTGGGCAGCAGCCTGCGTTCAGCAGGATCCACACGAAGAACTGCGACCCGAGGACGCACAACACACAGACCACCATTGTCTTCAGGTCATGCTCGAGGCTACCACACTGCACCTCGCGGACGCACCGCTCGCTGTTGAGATGTCGAGCTAGGTCCTCGATCACCCACGGGTACACGACAGCCTCGGGACAGGACACCTCCAGCTTCGTCGGCGCTGGTGGGGCTGGAGCAGCCTGGTCCTCAGCGTCGCAAGGCTGCAGCGGACCGCCGAGCCAGAATCGCTGGTCGGCGAGATCGCGGAGAGCGGAGCTGAGAAAGGCAGTGAAGACCCCTACCACACTCTGCATGCAGTGAAATCTCTCGAGCCCAGACAGCTACAGAGTGACACAATGAGGTGTTCATGAGGCCGACATCCCAAAAACCGCAAAATCATTCATGCGCACGCAGCCCCCATTCACCGATGGCGTACACCTGCCCGCCCGCCCGAGAGCGGTGGCGGATTTGCGCGGTAGCGCAGCTGGATAAACCTCAAGTGCCGAAAAGAACGGCAGCTTTGGTACAATGATATTTGTCCTGTCACTCACTCTGCAGCTTCCCCAAAAAAAGCGATCAACCTGCCGCACGTGTGGGAAAGAGAGCCACGACGACGACAACACCAAAGACGGCACAGTGAGTGTTGTGGAAGTGCTGAGGAAGACACTGACACCCTTCACGGGATCGGCATTGTCACCACGGACCATCGCAGGAGGGACCTGCATTGGCGTTTCGATGCTCAGGACGACGCCGATGCCGATGATGATGACGCCGATGACGACAAAGCCCACGGCCACCACCGCAGCCCGTGTCAAACCCTCCTTCCGACGTCTCACCAGCGGCGTCACAGACTCACAGCTACCGCCCCGCGTCTGACGCAGCATATACCCCGTTCCTGCCTCCCGTCGCCCATACTCCTGCTTCTGATGCCGGCACCCCTCGGGTCACACGCCTCCTCTGCTGGACCGAGGCAAGGCGGCAGGCCCGCGCGCCTTGAGCTGTGCGAGCGTCGTCGATGAGGTGCTGCTCTCGTCCATGACCTCGCGGCATCCCAGCGCACTGGGGCACATTCCCGCCGCGCACTGCGGCCCCGAACCAGAGCGCCCGAAGACTGCAAGCCGTCCGCGCGCAGTCGCCTGCCAGACAACTGCCTCAGCTAGGGCTCGACCCGCCACCTCGGGACTCCCCAGCGGGGGCCAGGGGGTGCACTGAAAGGAAAAGAAGAGTGCGGGCTGCATGTGTTTTGCTCCATGTTCCCCGACCCCCACCACACTGGAAATGGAGGGCACATCGGGGACTTCGGGTTGAGTTTGGGTGGTTTGGTGGGCGGTGGCCTTCCGGACCCTTCCTCCAGAGGTCTCCAGCAGTCCGTGGTGGCCTGGAGGAGGACCCCGGCGGAATCCTCGCCACTCTGGAGGCAGCCTGAGGCCTCGGGACGCTCGAAAAAACTGCAGGCAATGCTTAGTGCTTCGCTCCTCCCCCCTCTCCTCCTCCGGAAGGGAAAACATCGACCTGGAATCGGTGGGACTCCGCGGAGGGGGAACATCGACCTGGAGTTGGTGGTTTCCCGCCAATAGACCGATAAGCCCCAGATCGCGGACCCGCGCCTGGCGGAGCCTCACACGAGGCCCAGGCCGAGAGGAGCAGCAGGGGCGGGGGTGTCCGACCAAGACGACGACGATGCCCACGACCACGACTGCGACCGCGACCGCGACTGCGACCGCGACCGCGACCGCGACCGCGACGACCCTTGACGACGACGACGACGACGACGACGACGACGACGACGACGACGACGACGACGACGACGCCGACGACGACGACGACGACGACGACGACGACGACGACCGCGACGACGACGACGACAACGACGACGACCAACGACAACACAGGACGACAACGACCCATGACCCATGACGACGACGACGACGACGACGACGACGACGACGACGACGACGACGACGACAACGACCCATGACGACGACGACGACGACGACGACGACGACGACGACGACGACACATGACGACGACGACCCATGACGACGACGACGACGACGACGACGACGACGACGACGACGACGACGACGAAGACGACGGTGGCACCCAGAATGGCTCCCCCTCTAAAACTGATTAGCCGTCGCGCCAGCTGCCATGCACTCCAAGCCATCCATGCCATCTGCCACCGCTCCTGTCCATCACGTGCCCACGACCGCGAAGCGTCGTAGATCAGGAGCAGTGCAGCGGCACTGAAGAGCGGAGCCCAGAATCGGGGAGACGTAAGACTCGGGTTCGGGGGACTCGTGTTGGCCTGACGGGCCATCAATGAAAACGACGAGACCCAATCTGCAATTTGACGCGAGCTCCCGCTGCAAACATCCAACGAAAACTGGACCGTCAAAATCCAGGACGCGGTCGTCAAAAAAAACGTTGGCACACCCCAGTCCTGGCGTAATCGAGTCTCACGTTTCCCCGACAGAAAGACAGACACCGAACTCCCAGGCCCGGGACGAGGACGACCCTGCACACTCCGACGAGCGCACGACCGAGTCCGCCGCCGCCGCGGGGCGACCGTGCAGGGGCGGCACGCGCGCCAGACGCGCTGGCCTTCGGAAGGGCGTTTCGCTGAATAGGCGTGACACGTCGAGCTCGCACAACTCACTGCCCAGTACTTTGGTATGGCACTTGCAGCAAAGACATCATCACATCATTAGCGTGACACGTCGAGGAAAAATGAACATCCAGCGATCTAGCACCACATGCGTTTGACGTATTCATCCTGCAAACAGGAGGGGCTCGACCACAAGAGACCTTCCACAAGAAGCCCAACCCTGAGACCCCAGGATGTCCATCATCTTGTGGTGCGGGAACGTCGCGCTTTCCGGAGCAAGACCATCGAAACCCGAGAAACCCAGGGCAGGGCGCCCTGGAGGCAAGCAGGGTGTTTCTTGGCACGGGGCTCATCTGTACTATGCGGGGCCTCCTGAGGGGCTCTCGCGGCCTCTGGGCGCCTCCTGGAAGTCTGCCGGGAGCTCTGGGGGCCTGTCGGGAGCGTCCTGGTGGCCTCCCAGAACGTGTTGGGGTCAGATGGGGAGCCACGCCCACCAAGATAGTGCCCCAAGATAGACTACCTACCAGACCACCCCAAGCCAACCCGAAGACCCGAATTTCGGGTTGGCGGGGTATGGGCTCCATCTGTGTTTTTCCTATGTTCCCCGACACCCCCCCACTGGAAATGGAGTGCAAATTGAGGGCTTCGGGTTGGGTTGGGGTGGTTTGGCGGGTGGTGACAGATAGAATGAAAATGACGCGCTCGTCCTGCACACTCCAAGCTCCTTCGTAAGCGGGGGGGCCACGACCGCCAGCGGGCACCCACCTCGCCACGTCGGCGCGCCGCGCCGACGGGGGCGCGGCTCCCGCGGGTGACACCCGCAGCGGTGGTCGGCTCGGGGTCGCCAGGAGGAGGAGGAGTAGGAGGAGGAGGAGGAGAAGGAGGAGGTGGAGGAGGAGGAGGAGGAGGGAGGAGGAGG